TTAGCCCCGGCGCTATTGCATGTTTTTTCTGGGGAGAACCCTGCAAGATAAATGATTTGCTTTATTGAACATGTACAACAATGCATATTTCCACTGAGATCAGTGACCTTTGAATGTGTATCACCAGTGATCAGTCAAGTAATAACAGTCAAAATATTTTATCAGATTTTCTCAATTTTCGCATGATATTTTCATACAGGACATCTGTTGTTCATACTCAGGGAAGACTTTATACTGATGAATAAGGTGACCAAGTTTGATAAAGTTTGGAATAGAATTAGTAAAGTTATTGTGCACAAAACAATTAACGATGACAACGGTGGACAGAAATTTTCCCCTCAATGTACCTTTCTCTTCCATCTTTGATGTTACGGGCAAGGTAATAAACTGCATTGATCCTAATAGATAACTATGTTTGGTTCTTTATTGGCCAACTTAAAATAAAATAAGCAACCCACCTATCGCGACTTCTGCTCCTGCTTCTACTCCGGCTCCTACTTCTACTTCTGCTTTGTCTAGAGCGAGAAATGGAACGTGAACGGGACCTAGTAGACGAGAGGTTATAGCAACAGGCAAAAATAAATAAAAACCAATTGTATGATTGCTTCAGATACACTGTTGATGATAATGAGTATCAGTTCGGGACTTACCAATTGAACACTAAAACTGTACCAGGAAAACTCAAATTCCACAACAATTTTCATTTTCCCCAAGGTCTCTGGACAATCACAATACTCCCCAGGATGAGAATTAAAGTGCTATCTTCCACAAGTTGGACATGATCTTAACTATGCACTCAATACAGCATTACCCAAAACGCTGGACTACAAAATTTGGAACATACAATAAACCACATAGTTAATGGTATGATCAAAATCCCGCAGATTTTTTATTTTTGGCCAAACACCAAAATTTGCCCAGTTTTACATATGCATTAGCAAGCAAATGTTTTGAAGACAAAATCGAAATCTTGACTATAATTTTCAGACCAGATTATTTTACTACGGTATTACTAAAATGTACATATCACCATTACTGCCCCAAATCAGTTGGTATTAGCCAATCTAAGCTGAAAATTATTACTCAATTGAATATTTATTGACTTGGATAGCCACTACATTACAGCGTACCGAAACGGGTATAAGTGACGCATTAAATTCTAGATGGATTCTTGACTATTCAGACAGGTTATTATTTGTCAAACATTTCTCACATGTTTGTTTTTTTCAGTGTGTTTGACACACTGCATAAAAAATAAAAGAATGAAACAAGTAAAATTGACTTTTCACCCCAGCAGTTAAAAACTAGGCAAAAAGACCACATTTGATTGTGAACATTAAAATTGGGTGTCGGACGTAAAAAAACTGTGAAATGATGAAATAGGGTTGCAGTGAAATAAACGAGATGACGAATTGAGTTGTTAGTCATAGCGAGGGAATGTATAATGAGAGAGCATATGGTAATCACACTGAAATTTTAATACTATTTCAAATTCCTTTTAAATAAACAATTTATAAAAATTTTTTTATTGTAATTTCCTACACGTATATACACGACTTTTTAAAGGACAAATATTTTAATATGAACCAGCACTAGCCAAAAAGGCAATTACGAAAATTTAGATCCGATTTCTTTTTTTTGCCTATAAATTTAATTTTACAATTAAATATATGGCAGTATTGTTTGGAGATTGAGGCACATTTGCAGGTTAACTGTGAAAGGTGCTTGCATGATGAAACCAAATAGCAAAGTTAGTACAATGATTATGCGATGAAACACTGGACAGGTTAGTAGGAAAGTGAACATGGAGGAAAGGAATTACAAGCCACTAACTACAGCTGGTACATAGCCAATTGCTGGTTTAGAACTCAGGTGGAGGAGAAGGGGCTTTGTTGAAGTACCATGTACTAATTTGTACTTACCATGGCACAAATGAGAACTATATTTCTCGACCATCTCGCCATTTAAATGCAAAGTGATTTTGCAAGAAATGCAGATGCGTTTCTTTTCATGTGTAATGTACTCGTGGCAATCAAGGGGATATATTCAGCCCTAAGTAACTCAACACAGCAACTGTACTTATACCATAATCCATTTTACCATAACTAGAAACAGTTTTCATAACCACGTAATATTATACCATTCAATTCCAATCCACCACCCCTATCTAGATTCATCCCATTTCATGATCATCATCATCATCACAACTTTCTCTTTACACCAACGCAATGTTACCATAGTAACCAGTTACCATACCAACAAACCATATCACAAGAGCCTGGCATGTAGTAGCAGTAAAATGGGTGGTCAGATAAAAGTGGCAAGAATACAGGTACCAAAATCAAATACCGGATAGCAGCTAAAAAAATCAGCACAAAATTGTGAGCCTCCTGAACCAAAAAAGGTTGGGGCTATTAAAAGTAATCATGATATCAGTATTTTATTGAGGTATTGATTATGTAAATTATGTAACGCCTGACAAATAACTACCTGGTGAAACGCCTTCGTGAAGAGTACCGACAATCTCTGGAGAAGTGACCACGTTCACCACACTGGTAACATCTAAGGTTTGGATCAAAACCCCTCCGACCCCTGCCGCGAGTACGAGGCCTGGCAATATTCACTCTGACTCTACCACCGCACACCATTCTATAATTAAAGATATGTATCAAAAAAAAGTTAAATTACAATCAGAAAGTTAATAGGAATTAATAATTTAGTGCAAGTACATACTGTACATGTACATATTTCAAATTGAACCCTTTACAACTCAATTTCTTTTTCAATGTTTTTCCTTTTCAAAAAATATACTCGTTATCTTACCTTCCATCCATCTCCCTCATAGCCTCTTCAGCATCCTCACGACGCTTGTAGACAACAAAAGCAAAGCATGGTGGATTTCTCGCTACCCACACTTCTGTTATCTTGCCAAACCTTCCAAACGACCTCTCAATTTCAGTCTTTGAGCAGTCGATGCCCAAATCACCTACATAAAGCCTTGTTCCATAGTCTTCTGGACTCCTGGAACGTCGCTGACTATATCCTCCTCCGCCACCGCCATAGCCACCATAACCACCCCCACCACCACCACCACCACTATACCGCCGTGACCTATAATCTCTTCGAGGTGATCTAGATCTAGATCGAGAGCGCGATCTAGATCTAGAGTATGATCTGTAACGACTCATGAGTTTTAATCTGGAAGAAAAAAATATTTCACAAGTATGTATACAAATTCACAAAGCAAAAATGTCACACACGTTTGTATGATGCACT